TTTGTCCATTTTTTCCCCCTTTTCCGGTGGGTGCCTTACCTCCCTTGGGCTGGGCCAGCTGGTGGTCGGCCTGCTCCGTCTCTGCCGCTTGCTACGCCTCGGCCGGCGCAGGGGGCGGAACCACGCATGCGTGGCGCTCCCGGGCAGGGAAAGTCCTCGACTTACGACCGGTTGGGTAGTCCTCGACTTACGACCGGTTTAGTCCTCGACTTACGACCGGTTTAGTCCTCGACTTACGACCGGTTGGGGTCGCGGCATTAAAAAGGTTGAGAACCACTGTTTTAGCATAAGATAAAACAGCATAGCAGATTTTAAAAAGTCAATAGATAATACAGCAAAGCTTTAAAAACTCAAATATATTAGTTTTGTTTTTATAGTCAGAGCTAAACATTTGGCTGCCACCCCTACAATTTTATGATTTTTATCTGTGAGTAGAATTTCAACAGTATCTCTTCCTGGCCTTGATTTTAAAATACACCGTATTATTGATTGATGGATTACATGCCACGAAGTTGATATCCACTATTTAGCAACCATACAGATTGATTTTTTGCAAATGAACTGATACCATTTCAGACAAATGGTTGTCCAATCTCTTCTTAAAGACCTCCAGTGATGGAGCACCCTCACTTTCTGGAGGCAAGCTGTTCCACTGGTTAATTGTTCTCACTGTCAGGAAATTTCTCCTTAGTTCTAGGTTGCTTCTCTCCACCCGCTTTGCTACTGGTTAGCCTTGTCTTCTGTTTTCTTTCAAGGCTAGATTATATCCTGCTGAAAACTCTTGTAAAAATTGTAGTGCACTAAAATATCAACCCACCATTTCCAGATCTCTGTACCTATACAGAGCAATGTCTTTTGAAGTCGACCCTATAACATATTTGATAGCAAATTCACAGTGCAAAAAGCTATTTCTATTTTGACTTAAGTATAAACAGCTAAAATAATAGTTGAAACTTGTTGTTTGCTGCAGCGTTCAGGGGTGAGCATAATAACCTGCCTTTTGCCATTAATTCCTGTACTGAATTATCCCATAATCCTTATTATTGATATTGATCCCAATGGTAAGTCTTGTAGGAATGTACTGTCCCTGTATTACAGGTAGACCTCGACTTACAACTGTTCATTTAGTGACCATTCAAAGTTACAACGGCACTGAAAAAAGTGACATGACTAGTTTTTGTACTTATAACTGCTATAGCAGTGATGGTGAACCTTTTAGAGACCGAGTGCCCAAACTGCAACCCAAAACCCACTTATGTATCATCGGGTGCTGGGTGGGCCTGGCCTATTGGGTGGGTGTGGCCCATTGGCTGGGCGTGGCTGCGGTGGTAACGGCAGACTGGGTGGGACTAAAAAGTTCAATCAATCAATTCCAACTTTGCAAGATCTTTTTTTTCCCACGAGAAGTTGAAATTGACTGATTGATTGAACCTTTTTTTTTTTTTGCACAGGGCAGCGGAGGTCTAAAGCGAAAAGGTTTTATAAAACCCAGCTGAAGGCCGAGGACTGGGGTGACGGCACACGTGCCCACAGAGAGGGCTCTGAGTGCCACCTGTGGCACGCGTGCCATAGGTTCGCCACCACGGTGCTATAGTGTCCCCTTGAGATCAGTGGTGGGATTCAGCCAGTTCGCACCACTTCGGCAGAACCGGTAGCTAATTTTTTGTTGCCCAGGCCCAGAATGGACTTCCGGAAGCGGCATCCACACAGAGAACCGGTTATTCACCTATTTGAATCCCACCGCTGCCCATGTGATCAAAACTCAAATGCCTGGCAATTAACTCATACTTATGATGGTCGCAGTGTCCCGGGGTCACACGATTCCCCTTTTGCGACCTTCCGACGAGCAAAGTCAAGGGAGAAGCCAGATTGACTTAACAACAGTTTGAGTAATTTAACAACTATAGTGATTCACTTTAATAACTGTGGCAAGAAAGGTCGTAAAACCGGGCAAGCTCACTTAACAAATGTTTCACTTAGCGACAGAAATTTTTAGGGCTCAATTGTGGTCGTCTTAAGTCAAGGGCCACCTGTACTGTATTGAACATTAAAGTCACACTGCTTAGAAGACAAACAGTCGGAATCAATGCCCTTTTGATCAGTCTTTCCCTGTTGAAGTCGTGTGTCTGCATAACAATAATTTGAAAGTTTGCATAATCCTTCCTTGGTTTTGGAACCAAACCTGAATAGTGCTTAGTCAAGCTTTTGTTTGCAGAGGGCACCAGTGCAGCCAATTGTGCAAACCTGGAAGATGTACAATTAAACAATCACGTTAAGGCTATTATTAAAAAAACTGGTTTGTGATGCCTTAGCCCAGTTATCAAACTGCTTTCCTTCCAGGAAACTGCAGGTCCAGAGCTGAGGTTGTTAAAACCTCATACTTAGAAACCAGCTGTGTGAAGAATATATATGCATATAAGCATGGAAGGTGTTCAGTGGGGTTTTCAATTGCTGTACCAGCTAGACCAGGGGTAGGCAACCTTGGCTCTTTTATGACTCATGGACTTCAACTCCCAGAATTCCTGAGCCAGCATGGGGAAACTATGGCCCCTTCATGACTTGTGGACTTCAACTCTCAGAATTCCTGAGCCAGCCATGCTGAGGGGAAAGGGAGAGGTTCCAAGCTGAGCCATGCTGGCTCAGGAATTCTGGGAGTTGAAGTCCACGAGTCATAAAAGAGCCAAGGTTGCCTACCCCTGAGCTAGACTGATTCCTAAAGATTGAGAGACCTTGGAAGCACATGAATCTCACTCCAATGAAGCTTGTTGACACTTTTTTAATGGTTCAGAATTTGGGGGACAAGGACACTCTGCAGGAGGAATGCACCCCACATTGCTTCCTGGGCTCCTGAGAGAAGTAAATTGCAAGATCAGAAAAGAGAGGGCTCAGAAATATGATCTTGAGCATTGACAGGCCTGGATTCAAATGACCATGAATGGGTCAATCGGAGGAGTGGTGAAGTGGGACTGGGAGAGAGTTGAATCATGTTCTAGTTGCCCCTCAGCCATTAAAGCTTCCTGGGTGTAATGGCCTGGGCAAAAGACCTTGGGAGACCTCAGGAAGAGCCATAGACTGGACAGTCCATATATAAAAGATTTCTCAGCTGTCGGAAGGAGAGGAGGGCGTGAGAAGGACATTTCAGAAAGGTCTAAGCCAGGGATAGGCAACCTTGGCTCTTTTATGACTCATGGACTTCAACTCCCAGAATTCCTGAGCCAGCCATGCTGAGGGGAAAGGGAGAGGTTTCCAAGCTGAGCCACACTGGCTCAGGAATTCTGGGAGTTGAAGTCCACGAGTCATAAAAGAGCCGAGGTTGCCTACCCCTGCTCTAGGACCAATTGGTGTGGCCAACTCAGTGTGGCCAACTTGCTGTGGCTACCTCGTTCCAGGACATCTTGCCATGGCCAGCTCCCCACAGGACAAGAGTTACACAAATGTTGAAGAAATGCTGGAATAGAATCATTAAAGAAAGGATGCAAAAAGAGGGGCAAAATAAAAATGTGGATGACAAAAATTAAAATAATTTTTAAATTATAAATTTTAAATACTTAAATTGAATTGTTGAATTGTCTTCCTATGAGATGTCCTGCCATGAGTTGGCCATGGCGAGTTGACAGCACCTAGTTGACCAGGAGAAGTTGGCCATAGTTGGCTGTGCCTAGTTGACCGTGGCAAGTTGGCCATAGTGAGTTGGCTGTACCAAGTTGACCATGGTGAGTTGGATGACTCTAACTGTCATCTATTTAGGTAGCTCATGGTTTCATGTATTGTGCCAGTCCAGAAAATGGCTTTAGAATAGAATTAGCCAAATGTATTAGCCAAATGCAATTGGACACACCAGGAATTTGTAACTGCAATGGTCGTAAGTGTGAAAAACTATCATAAGTCACTTTTTTCAGTGCTGCTGTAACTCTGAATGGTTACTAAACGAATGTTTGTGAGGACTAATTGTTTCTCAGTCCAACCTCACCCACAGGGTGGTCTTTGTGGGGAGAACACATCTTGTACTGCACTTAAATATAAGCATATACCAAATAGAAAATATAAGCACATATCAAATAAAAATACCTCTCAGGTCGATGTATAAATCCTCAGTTTTGTTTCCGGCTTTCCCCTCCCCTTAGTTGTGGTTTCCGTACGACCACATTACTGGCAATAGAAATGAAGGTTGTTGTTGTTTTTTTAAAGGGAAAACAAGCAAGATAAGACCCCGCTTAACACTTTGGCAGAAAGCTATAATGTGGGTTTGTTGTTTTGGGGTTTGGGCCTTAGCCTCTTGTATAAACCCACCTACGGAGCTTCAAAGAAGTCATCCAAGCCCTGGCTTGGTTCTAAGCTAATTGAGAAACGTGGCTAACCACAGCAGCTGCATAGCTCGGATCAAAGGTTTGGCAGTCTGAAACTTGAGTTGAGCAAAGCTGAACTTGTCATCCAGCCAGGAAAAAAGAAAAAAAACAAAACCAACACCTTAGGGATTTCAAAATGAGAAAGGAAATCGTTGGGGCATAAGAGTAGAAATGTATGCTTGGTGGGAATCTGCTGTTAGCCCTCATTCAAAATGATACAGGCAGTCCTCGACCTTTGTTTAATGACCCATGACTGTTTTCTACCCTTAACGACCTTTCCAGCATCCCCACGGTCCCGTGATCAAAATTCCGACGGTTGGCAACTGGCATGTACTTATGACGGTTGCAATATCCTGGGGTCACCTTTTGCAACTTTCTGACAAGTCAATGGGGAAGCCGGGTTCACTTACCAACGGTGTTGCTAACTTAATAACTGCAGTGATTCGCTTAACAGCTGTGGCAAGAAAGGTCATAAAACGGGTCATAGCTCGCTTAATGACCGTCTTGCTTAGCAGTGGAAATTTTGGGCTGAACTGTGGCCGTAAGCCGAGGACCGCCTGTTATCTTTGGCTATATAGGAAGGGCGTCTTCTGATGCATGCTTCTTTTGACCCGTTTCTTCTTTTTTGCCTCTCTTTTCTTCCTCCATGCTCAGCGGTGATCCTGCCCACCATTTGGGCCTACCTGCAAAAGCTGAATGCCGAACCCTACTACTTGGGCCTGGCTCTCTCCGCCTTTAGCTTCGCTGGCTTAATCACGGGCCCCTTCTTTGGATATTGGTCCGATCGGACCCATCGAACCAAAGGGAGCATCATGTTTGCCAACTTATTTCAGATAGCAGGTGAGTTGGACCCTGCTGGGGGGGGCGGTTGGCACAGGTTGCCCCTCACAAGTTAGTTTGCCATCTTCTGCCCCCAGGTGAGCGGCACTGCTCTTCACCCATCCTTGCGTTGACAGAAAGGTTGGCATGGATTCTGCTTTGCCAAATCGCCGTTTTCTCTCTTTTGTAGCCCCTGCAGCTCCATATATTTTTTTTCCCCCTCCAGTACGATGGAGCCTAATAAATGTCCACATTGTGGAAATATAAAAATATAGAAAACTGACGGTAGAAAAAAGACCTTGTGGTTCATTGAGTCTTCTCTCTGAGTTTGTTTGGTTTTTTTTCCTTTTTAATTATTATTTTTTGTTTTCTTTTTAATTTATTTTTAACTACAGGTAGTCCTCAACTTATCACCACAATTGAGCAAAAGATTTATGTTGCTAAGTGAGACGTTGGTTAAGTCCCCATTTTGTGACAGTTTTGCCAGATTTGTTAAGTGAATCGCTGCAGTTGTGTAATTAGCAACACGGTTGTTAAGTGAATCTGGCTTCCCCATTGACTTTGCTTGTCAGAAGGGGATCACATAACTCCACAACATGGCAACCGTCATAGAGGTGAGCCAGTTGTCAAGCATCCGAATGTAAATCACATGACCATGGGGAAGCTCCAATGGTCATAAGTGTGAAACGTCATAAGAAGCGGTGAATGCTCCAACACTGGAAGTTTTTAAGAAGAGACTGGACAGCCCTTTGTCCGAAATGGTATAGGGTTTCCTGCCTGAGCAGGGGGTTGGACTAGATGACCTCCAAGGTCCCTTCCAACTTTATTATTATTATTATTGTTGTTGTTGTTGTTGTGTCACTTTTTTCAGTGCCATTGTAACTTTGAACTGTCACTGAATGAACTGTTGTAAGTTGAAGACCGTCTGTATTATTTTTATACCTTAGTCTATTTTTATTTTATTGTTATTTTCAGATGGTAGACCTGTGTTTTATCCCAAGCCTCTTTAAACTCATGTTACTTTGGGACGTGTCAGAAAAAAGCAGAAGCCTGGCTGACTGAGGAATTCTGGGACTTGAAGTCCACACATCTTAAAAATTGCTAAGGTTCAGGAACGCTGCCGTAGAGAAAAGGGGTTGCCAGGACATGTGTGCATCAAGGGGTAGATGCAAGCAGAGAACTTTTTTTTTTCCGTGGAAGTGCTGTGACAAACGAGGGTGTAGCTTAGAAACAGAGATGAAGGTAACAGGCCTTCTCCTCAGCCAGCTGCATTTCTGTATAGATCCGAACAGTTCTGATCTAAAGATTAAGAATGGCTGAGAGACGAGGAAGGGAAAAGATTTAGCATTATTCTCTTGTTTGCTTAGATCAGGGCTGTCCAAACTTGACCGCTTTCAGATGGCTGGGGAATTCTGGGAGTTGAAGTCCACACGTCTGAAAGCGGCCAAGTTTGGACAGCTCTGGCTGAAGTCATTTCTTGCCTTTGAACTTATGTTTGATTTCCCTAGCACAGAGATGGCGAACCTTTTAGAGACCGAGTGCCCAAAACCTGCCCCCCTACCCCCGTCCCCGCTCTGCCCTGCCCACTGGGCCACCCACCACCTCCATGGCCCGCCACAGATCACCCAGGCATCCCAGCAGCGCCATGGCGGCCACGCCCTCTGCCCGTGCCCTGCAGCATCATCTGCGCGCGACGGGGCGCAAGGGTGGAATTATGTCCCCGGCTACCATGTCCTTGGCTGCGCTGCTTCGTGTGGGCCAGGCCCAAGGGCGACTCTTCTCTGGGGGGGGGATGCTGGTGGGGAAGGGGCTGTGGGAGGAGGCGGGGCTGGGGAGACGGTGCATGTGCCCACAGAGAGGGCTCCGAGTGCCGCCTCTGGCACCCGTGCCATAGGTTTGCCACCATTGCCCTAGCACTTTTGAAAGTGGTTCGCCATCAAAACGCCTTTATAAAAGTCAACCCGTGATCAAAACAATAGGCAAAGAATGCATAGGGTGACTTCTTTCTAAGAGAGAGCGCCACGGCTTAATGGTTAAAGATGCTGAGCTTTTGTCAGCTGGAAAGCTAACAGCCCATGTTCAAGACCCCAGCTCACATCACTTGCCCCAGCTGCTGGCGACCTAGCGGTCTGAAAGCAGGTAAATGCAAGTAGATAAATAGGTACCACTTTGGTGGGAAAGCAACAGTGTACGGTGTGCCTCAGCATATAAGTTATCCCGACCACGTGACCATGGAAACGTCTTTGGATAACACTGGCTCCCTCATCTGAGAAATGGAGTGTCAGACACGAATGTAGAGGGGAAACCTTTATCTTTTCATATTATGACATCTACCTGAGCTTTAAAATGCGTATAGTCAAGGCCATGGTTTCCCCAGTTGCAATGTATGGCTGTGAAAGTTGGACCATAAGAAAGGCTGAGCGCCAAAGAATGGAGGCCTTTGAACTCTGGTGCTGGAGAAGACGCCTGCGAGTCCCCTGGACTGCAAGGCGATCAAACCGGTCAGTCCTAGAGGAGATCAACCCTGACTACTCTTTAGAAGGCCAGATCCTGAAGCTGAAACTCAAGTACTTTGGCCACCTAATGTGAAGGAAGGACTCACTGGTGAAGAGCCTCATGCTGGGAAAGATGGAGGGCAATAGAAGAAGGGGACGACAGAGAATGGGGTGGCTGGATGGAGTCACTGAAGCAGGAGGCGTGAGCTTAAATGGACTCCAAAAGATGGTAGAGAACAGGAAGGCCCGGAGGAACGTTGTCCATGGGGTCGCGATGGGTCGGACACGACTTCGCAACTAACAACAACAACCTGAGCTTTGGACGTAAAGTTTTTTTTAAAAAAAAAAACTTAATGTTTTTGTTGATATTGAAGATCCTGAAGCACGTTAGAAACTCTTTAAAGAAATCATAGTTGAAATAGAGGAGAGTACGATCGGCTGAATAAGAGGGATCCAAAAAGAATGGTGGATCTAAGACAGAACATGGCAGCTAATTGGCGAACGGAAACAAAGCAAAATGCCAGTTAGATCAAGAGAAGACAGAAGCAATGAGATTATATGAAACCTTGGAACGTGGAGTTAAACGTACTTGCCACGACGACAAACAAGATGGTTGGAAGGAAAAGCAGCTGAGAATACAGGATGCACCAGCAAAGAACGATGTTCAGATGCTATCTTCTCCTTGCCTGGGAACTAACAAGAACTTGAACTAATGCCAGTGTACCAATTAAAGATCAACATGGGAACACGTTGCTTAGTAAAGAAGAACAAGACAAACATTGGACTGAATGCTTTAGCGACATGTTGAAACAGCCTAGCCCAGGGGTAGGCAACCTTGGCTCTTTTATGACTCGTGGACTTCAACTCCCAGAATTCCTGAGCCAGCATGGCTCAGCTTGGAAACCTCTCCCTTTCCCCTCAGCATGGCTGGCTCAGGAATTCTGGGAGTTGAAGTCCACGAGTCATAAAAGAGCCAAGGTTGCCTACCTCTGGCCTAGGCCTAGGCCGCTTTATNCGCTTTATGACTCGTGGACTTCAACTCCCAGAATTCCTGAGCCAGCATGGCTCAGCTTGGAAACCTCTCCCTTTCCCCTCAGCGTGACTGGCTCAGGGATTCTGGGAGTTGAAGTCCACGAGTCATAAAAGAGCCAAGGTTGCCTACCCCTGGCCTAGCCCGTTAACAACATATGATTTTACCAACATTACACAATATGGAACCAATTACAGTTACTGAAATTGAGGATACAACATGGTCGATTAAAAAAAAAAAGTAGCTGGCTTAGATCAGATCTCCGAAGAGCTGGTGGAGACAGCAAGAACACACTATTTTATTAAGCAACTGTTGGCTCCAGGAATACGTACCAGAAGATTGGAGGCAAGGGGTAATCATTAAAGTACCAAAGAAAGGGAACCTCAGCAGTTGTAAACAACTGGAACAGCAAGACGTTGTTATTAGGCCCTGGAAAAGTTTTATGCCTTGTGTTGTTGAGGAGACTGCAGCATCGACCGGATGCATACCTGTGTGAAGAACAAGCAGGATTCAGGAAAGGATGCTCTTGTGAGGATCAGATTCTGACCTTAATAAATATCATTGAACAGAGTTTGGAATTCCAGAAACCAATAGTGGTTTCTGGCTGAGGAATTCTGGGAGTTTGAAATCCACAAGTTTTAAAGTTGCCAAGGTTGAAGACCCCTGCTCTATACGATTGGTACTACCTTTGTTTTCTTTCGCAACAGTGGAAATGGAATTTCTGTGACAAAAGAAAGCAAAGGTAGTATAATAGTAAGTAGGTGCCCGGGGTGCAATCCCAAAAACATCTGGAGCACCACTTTGAACACCATTGACAAAACTGGCAAATTGCAAAAGGCAGCTTTACTTGGAATAGCTTTCATCCTGTGACAGCACCTTTAATATCATCAAACATCCCCATCTGCCTATCCCAGGTCTTTGATTGGTGGGCAAAAATGCTGAATCCAGTCTGAACATGTGGCTGACTGTGTGGCACACCATAAAAATAACATAAGAGACATGGATTACCTGTCTGAGAAGGTAATCCATGGCAACAATTACCCATGCGTATACTGTATATTTCACAGTACAGATAGAGACTCTTTCCTTTCTGGCCAGGCATTTAATTCCAGGACCATAGAACTGTAGAGTTGCAAGGATCATCTAACCCATCCTTCTGCAGGAACACCAGCAAAACCATCCTTGAGAGGTGACTGTCCATCTCTTTTTGGAAGCCCCCAGAAATGGAGAACCTATAGTCTCCAGAGATAGATTGTTCCACTGATCCATTGTTCCACCTTACCCTCAGGAAATTTATTCCAACAGTGAATCAGTCACTCCTTCCAGGTTTAGGAGACACATCTACCCATAATCCAATTGTTCCCCTGATCCTAGTGAGGGAGCTGTTCTGCTGGGCACAAAACCCCACCTAGCATCTTGCTGACCACGAATGATTTAGAATTGGGTGCCATCAACTTTGGTGGCATCATGGGCAGCTTCACTCCAGCTGGGTTCTGGTCTGTGATGTATGGCTGTCTGATCTCCACCAAGCCATCTTGCTTCTAGTCTTTCTTAACGTTGTCTTTGTTTTCAGGAAACTTCATGTATTTTGTTGGTGGCTCCAAATGGATGCTCCTTGGCAGCCGACTAGTAGCAGGTAAGGACCGGAGAGGACCATTTTTCTGAGTCTAATTCAGGGGTCTTCAGACTTGGCCCTTTTATGACTTGTGGACTTCAACTCCCAGAATTCCTCAGCCAGGCACGCTGGCTGAGGAATTCTGGGAGTTGAAGTCCACAAGTCATAAAAGGGCCAAGTTTGAAGATCCCCTGGTCTAATTCAACCCAAACCCAACTCAACTAATTGAACTTAAGGTATAAATAAGAGAATTTTCTTCACTTTTTCCTTAATTGGGGGGGGGCTTAAGTTTCTGCAAGTCTATCAGCCCTTTGCTTCTCTTTCCTCCTCTTTCCACACAACTTAACATTTTAGGCAAAAGGCCCAGCAAAAACATGAATGTGCTTTTCTAACCTTCTTTTGCAGCTCAACCTGTTGGCACCAAATTAGCTTATTTGGTCCATGTACTGTGAAAATCCCCCCCCCAAAATGGCCGAGTGTCAAGTTAAGAGTATTGCACAAGTACAGGACTTCAATTATATTTTGGATTTGTAGTTTTTGAGCTGATTTTGTAATATTTGAAATGTATTACGCTTGGTCTTCTTACCCTTGTTCTAAATTTAACAAAGAGAACTGCTTTAAAAGAAAATATCTTGCCCAACCAGCCAGATATTAGCTGGACAAATCTTGAAGGCATCAAACAAAGACGGCTAAATGGGCTAACGTGCTTTGGGTGGGTTGATGAGAGAACAGCTGACCGCTGGTTTGAAAGAGGGGTCAAAGAGGCCATCTAGGTCAAAACTGAACAGCAACAGAGGGGGAGGGATATAATAATAATAATAATAATAATAATAATAATAATAATAATAATAATAATAATAATAATAATAATAATAATAATAATAATAATAATAACAACAACAATAATAATAATAATAATGTTGGAAGGGACCTTGGAGGTCATCGAGTCCAACCTCCTGCTGAGGCAGGAACCCTATACCATTTCAGACAAATGGCTGTCCAGTCTCTTCTTAAAAACTTCCAGTGTTGGAGCACCCACAGCTTCTGGAGGCAGGTTGTTCCACTGGTTAATTGTTCTAACTGTCAGGAAATTTCTCCTTAGTTCTAAGTTGCTTCTCTCCTTGATTAATTTCCACTCGTTGCTTCTCGTCCTGCCTTCAGGGGCCTTGGAGAATAGCTTGACTCCCTCTTCTTTGTGGCAGCCCCTGAGATATTGGAAGACTGCTATCATGTCCCCCCTCGTCCTTCTCTTCGTTAAACTAGACATACCCAATTCCAGCAACCGTTCCTTATATGTTTTAGCCTCCAGTCCCCTATGACATCATCTACCTCCAGTCTACAACACGGTCCTTTCAGCAGTTCCAAGAAGGCTGTCAGACCTTCAAACACTCTGAATACAAAACAATAACTTTCTTGTGGGAACCAAGGTCAAGCAGCTAAAGTGTTTGGCGGGCTTGGAGCTACCATTAGGGAGCCCGCCAAAGGTGTTAATTGGGGATTGTGATGTATGACACATAAATGGGTGGGGAGTTCAACTTTTACTTTGTAACTTTTTTGGGGGGGTAACTTTCAGTCTTGGTTTCACCTTTGTTCGTGCTGATATTATGTGGCCATTAAAAGTGTTCTTTGAGGCAAGCAATTGCCTCAGAGTTCTTATTTCTTCTGGTCTCGTTTATCGGAACCGTGACAAAGGCTCCACACCCATTTGCACCACTCAGGTGACCCTGAGGACACGGATAAACCCCCAGGTGACCTCAATGACTTTCTAAAACAGGGGTCTTCAAACTTGGCCCTTTTATGACTCGTGGACTTCAACTCCCAGAATTCCTCAGCCAGGCGAGCCTGGCTGAGGAATTCTGGGAATTGAAGTCCACGAGTCATAAAAGGGCCGAGTTTGAAGACCCCCTGCTCTAAAAGAAGGCAAATGACCAGCTGTCTGCAAGGAGTATAAATCCTTCCATTTCCCTCACCTTCCGGTCAGAGCCGAAGAAGCTTCTTGGATGAGAAGCGAAACGTCTTCAAAGCAAAAACAAGGAAGTCCAGTTGCCCCGTGAAAAAACACCTTTGGGTGGGTGAGGGAAGATGTGCTTCATTTGCCATTCCTTCGTTTTCCAACGCTCTTTTCTGGATCTCCACTACAGGTGTGGGAACTGGAGCAGGTGCTTCCATCTTTGGCTACCTCACCCGTTCCACCACTTCGCAGGAGAGGTCCAAGGTCTTTGCGGCCGTCATGGCCTGCCGCCAGGTTGGGCTTCTTATTGGTAAGGACTCCCCTTTTTGACAGATCCCTCCCCCACAAAAAGTTGACATTTGTGCCGGCACTGGAAGTTTGCATTGGGGTATGGGTAGTCCTCGACTTACAATAGTTCATTTAGTGACTATTCAAAGTTACAACGGCGGTGAAAAAAGCGACTTACGACCATTTTTCACACTTAACAACCGTTGCAGCATCTCCATAGTCATGTGATCAAACTTCGGAAACTTGGCAGCTGATTCATACTTACGACGGTTGCAGTGACCCAGGGTTGTGTGATCCCTTTTTGCGACCTTCTGACCAGTGAAGCCAGATTTCACTTAACAACCTTTTTGCTAACTTAACAACTGCAGTGATCCACTTAAAAACTGTGGCAAAGCAAGGTCGTAAAATGGGGCAAAATTCACTTAACAAATGTTTCACTAAAGAGGGACCGACGGAAATTTTGGGCTTGACTGTTGTACGTCGAGGACTGACCTGTAGTTTGTCCCTGGCCTTCTTTACATCATCTGGGAGGATTTCTGGAAGGAGAAAATAAAAATAAAAATGTAGATGATTAGTTATGTAGGCCCTTTACCAGCACTGAGTTATTCAGTCAAGGCAGTTTGTGGATGAAATTAAAATTGGCCTGAAAAGGACCTGTTTTAGAAGATAAATTTCTAACACTGTAACTTCAAATCAGTTTTAAACAAACATACGTGCTGAGAAGCTGCTCTTTCAATAAAAACGTGTTTTTTTAAAAAAAATTGAAGACAGCAGCAGAAATGGCAACTGAACTTTCTTTAGTCTTAATGTCAAGATGATTTAGAAGCTAACCAGCTGATGTAAGATGTATGATGTAATGATGGGAATGACTCAGCAGGGTCTGTGTCTCTTTAAGAGCCTTGTATAAAAAGGCTCCGCAGATGTGTTCTCTCTCTTCCGTTTCCTGCTGCAGCTGCTGTGTGTTGGGGACCTGCTGTATTAACATATGTATGTATATTGTTCCTGGTGTATGATATTGTAGATAGTGTAAGATAAACCACCATTTAAACCTAGACCACTGTTTACTGTATTTACTCCTGGGTTATCTCAGTGCAATAAGGCTGTGCACGCTCTGATACTTAAGTTATTTGGAAGTTCTGGAATAAGTTGAAGAACCTGTAGCTGCCCCGAAGTTGAATAAATCCTGAGCACTTGCCCTCATTGGCACGAATAATATTAACACCATTGGGAGTACCATAGGTTTGCTGATCTTCCTAAATATATTTTTTGATGGCTTAGGGGTTTTTTTTGGTCACAGCTGAGTTCTGGTGTTCACTCATCATCAAAAATTATGCAGGGATGAAATTCGTTGTCCCCTTGGCCAGCCTCTATCCCGATCACTTTCCTGAATTTCCTTCATGGTAACGATTGACAAGGCTTAGCAGATACGACGCATCCGTGGGCTGTTCTTAGATACAGTTAGTCCTCAACTTACGACCACAAGTGAGCCCAACATTTCTGTTGCTAAGCAAGACGGTTGTTGCGGGTTTTGCCCCGTTTTACGACTTTTCTTGCCACAGTTGTTAAGGGAATCACTGCAGTTGTTAAGTTAGCGACACGGTTGTTAAGTGAATCTGGCTTCCCCACTGACTTTGCTTGTCAGAAGGTTGCAAAAGGGGATCACGTGACCTCCCGGGGACCCTGCCACCGTCATAAATATGAGCCAGTTGCCAAGCGTCAGAATTTTGACCACGTGACTGTGGGGATGCTGCAAATGGTCGTAAGTAAGAAACGGTCACAAGTCGCTTTTTTCAGTGCTGTTGTAACTTCGAACGGTCGCTAAATGAATGGTTGTTAATTCGACGACCACATGTAGTGTTGGAACAGGGAGGAAAATGTTTTAATGCTGGTAGAAATAAGGCCTTTGCCTCCTGAACTGGGGACCGTGAGGATAACCTCATGAGCACACCGCAGAAAATAGACTCTGCCCGGTTCAAATGGGAACATGGCTTTTAGTGCATCTTCAAATAATTACAATTTTGTTGGAGTTGATGGTCCTAAATGCCTTTTCCTAAAGTTACAATTCTAGGATCAGTTAACTTTCATACATGTAGCTGGGGTGCCACCATCAAGAAGAGTCTTTTTCTTGTAGCTCCTATCTTATGAGGAAAGGGAAAATTTATATAGAGTAGAGTAGAGTAGAGTAGAGTAGAGTAGAGTAGAGTAGAGTAGAGTAGAGTAGAGTAGAGTAGAGTAGAGTAGAGTAGAGTAGAATTAGGAATAGGAATAGGAGTAGGAATAGGAATAGGAATAGGAATAGGAATAAGAGAGTAGAGTGGAGTGGAATGGAATGGAATGGAATGGAATGGAATGGAATGGAATGGAATAGAATAGAATAGAATAGAATAGAATAGAATAGAATAGAATAGAATAGAATAGAATATAGAATGGAATGGAATGGAATAGAATAGAATAGAATAGAATAGAATAGAGCTGGAAGGGACCTTGGAGGCCTTCTAGTCCAGCCCCCTGCTCAAGCAGGAGAACCTATACCATCTCAGACAAGTGACTGTCTAGTCTCTTCTTAAAAACCTCCAGGGATGGAGCGCCCACGATTTCTGGAGGCAAGCTGTTCCACTGGTTAATTGTCCTCAGTGTCAGGAAATTCCTCCTTAATTCCAGGTTGCTTCTCTCTTTGGTCAGTTTCCAACCATTGTTTCTCGTCCTGCCCTCTGGTGCTTTGGAGAATAACGTGACCCCCTCTTCTCTGTGGCAGCCCCTCAAATACTGGAATACTGCTATCATATCACCCTTAGTCCTTCTTTTCTCTAGACTAGCCATACTCAATTCTTGCAGCCGTTCTTCATATTTTTTTAGTCTCCAGGCCTTTGATCATTTTGGTTGCTCCCGAGTTTATTTATTTGTTTATTTATTAAATTTTAATGCAGCAACTCTGGGTGACTTGGGGGGCGTTGGCGTTGAAGGAAGGTGACTGCAGAAGATGCTAATGTCCTGGCAGGTAACTTGTATGCCTTCTTCATACACCTGTTCTGTCATATTTGCTTCCAGGGCCAGCCTGTAACCTCTTCCTGCGCCTGTGCAATTTCCATCTGGGACCCTTTGTGGTCAATAAGTTTACATCCCCTGGGGTAAGTCACAAGAATTTGTTCTTTTTGGAAGCACTGTTTATTGGTTAAATGTAAATGCTGCCTGTCTCACTCTGTAAGGTGACTTTGTGTGACTTGCAATTAAAATGGTAAATATTAAAATATTAACAAGATTAGGTACCCAACCTAACCAACGTTTATTAAATCCTCCATCAATACTTGGGGCAAAAAATAAAATAAAAATAAAAAATGGGTGGGCAGCTTTTCCATATTTCTCAGAGAAATCCTCATCCAATTTTGCTAGGACAAGACACTTTCTTAAGAAGGACCTTAGCACATGGACTTTATATGTATAGGGTAGACTAATATTTTATTTTAATCAGGATACATAGTGTGTAGTGGAAAAAGAAATAAACAAGACTTGTGATAAAATTAAGGATTTAAGAGATCAGAACTAGAATACATCTGGAAAGGATACCTGAAGTGATAATGCGTTTATTTAAGGTTAAAGTTGACTATGGTAACTGTAAATTTATAAGACTTACAAACAGGTTTAGAATTTATAGAAATTTAATCTAGAAATGGATTGTTTTAAATATATTATCTTATTTGAGGGAAATAAGAGAGGGAATATCTAATGTAGTGATTTATTTATATATGGTTTTATTTTTGGATGTTTGATTACCCCAGCTCCACGGTGTGTCTTAAGCACTTTGTTCTAAGAAACAAAAAACCAATAAAATATGTTTAAAAAAAAAAGAAGGACTTTAGCACCAATACTTAGCAACAGAACAGATAACTCTTGGTGGCTTTCCTAAGAGTTGATGGGAAGAGTGGGAAGCCAGGGTGCTAACAGACTCCAGGTTGTCCTCGGCTTACGATCACAATTGAGGCCTAAATTTTCTGTGGTTAAGTGAGTTTTGCCCCATTTTATGACTTTTCTTGCCACAGTTAAGTGCATTACTGCAATTGATAAGTTGGTAAGTGACTCCAGCTTCCCCGTTGACTTTGCTTGTCAGAAGATCCCAAAAAGGGGATCGCGTGATCCCGGGACATAGCAAAGGGCATAGATACGGAACCCGTTGCCAAATGTCTGAATTTTGATCACATCATCGTGGGGGAATGCTGCAAAGGTCGTAACTGTGAAAAAAGGCCGCAAGTCACATTTTTCAGTGCCGTTGTAATTTTGAACGGTCATTAAACGAACTGTTGTAAGAGAGGATTGTATAATGAAAGAGACCCATTCTCCAAATCCCTGACCAGATTCTCATCGGTGTCTGAGGCAATGAGACTAGCTTCCACTCCTGAGAAGTTCATATTCTTTCAAGTACTTTTCTTCTCTCACTTCATCATAAGAATGCTTAAAATAATGTTAAACGTGAATTCAGATCCATATTTCCAAACCTGTTCAAAAGGAATGTGCTTTAGGAGGTCTTTTTTTTTAAGAGCAGGATTTTAGATTCCTATCATAACTCTATGCAAGCGTACTCAGAAACAAGAACCTTTGGGTTCCTGAAGATCCCAATCTAGCTTTAGGTTAATCAAATAGTTCTTGAATATCTTTTCTTAGGGTTTTGCTCTTAAATGCTGCTGCTGAATAACCCTTCAGTGGCGTCTTAAAATTTCAGCATTGTAAATACCTTCTGTACTTTGATGAAATGGAATAAAAAGACCTCTGGTTAATCCTGGGCTTCCTTTTATTCCCTACACTACGTTCTGTACCATTAAAGGAGAATATTTGTAGCTCAGGGTTGACATGAGGGAGTCCTTGATGCTCTCTTGTTGGTTTTCTTGCAGGTATTTCAATACCCAACTGGGTAACATCATCAGTGCTACTAGAACAGGGGTGGGCAGCCTTGGCTCTTTTATGACTCGTGGACTTCAACTCCCAGAATTCCTGAGCCAGCCACGCTGAGGGGAAAGGGAGAGGTTTCCAAGCTGAGCCATGCTGGCTCAGGAATTCTGGGAGTTGAAGTCCACGAGTCATAAAAGAGCCAAGGTTGCCGACCCCTGTAGTAGAATATAAAAGCACAAAACCCCTTCTTCCTAGCACTGATGATGTTACCTAGCTGGATAATGAAATGTCTGCAAGAAAGCAGCCAAGCTCAGAGAGCACCCAAGGATCCCTCGCCCAATTTTGTGTTAACAACAAAAGGGCTTTCTGTTCTTTTGTTCTCTGCTCTTTTTTTTTTTTTAAGTTTTTATTAATTTTTTCAAATAAACATATGAGCAAATAATACAAATATGGTGCATTTCATTAGAAAAACAAACACATAAAAAACCTACTCATTAGGTATTCAGAAATAGTCGGCGGTCCCCCCCCCCCGCATCCACACTCCCTCCACCTTCCTACCTACTTCCTTCTTCCTTCCTCCCCCTCTTGACCACTACCTCTCCTCTTTCCTCCTTCCCAACTATCCTACACATCCCATCACCTTCTTTTCCACCACCTTGGATGCAGTTTAGGGGTACTAGCCGATCATCTCCTCTTCTTAAAGACAAACATTTACATTACATTTATAAATACACCAATTTTTTTTTATAATTCTACCCCTTCATCCCCTTCCCCCCCCCCCC